TGTGATTTAGAAAAAAGGACATTTGTTCTTTTTTTTTATAAAATCCTAATTTTTCTTTATTAAATCGTACGCTATGTTGTTGAAAATTTTTTGTAGGACAATATTTGCGTAATAACACTAGAACCGGTTAAAGTCCAAATAAAAATAATTTTAAAAAGAATTTGCACAAACCAAAGTACTTTTTACACAAATAAAATACATTATGTAGGTATATGCAGATACATTAAACATTCGTTTCCTTTAGCATTGATCTTTCACCTGGATTAGAATTGAATTTACTTTAAAACAGGACGCAGGTTTAAATATTGGTATTCTTTTAGCTGGAGCACAGAAAACATATTCGTTTTGAATGCATAATTCGTAATAATATTTTAGCGAACTTTTAACTATTAATTACTGACTAAAACTTTGAATACGACAAAATATTAAATTGTTATCCCTTTAAAACCATGTAATGTACAGGGCACCAGTCAAAAGTTTGGGAAAGTTCTACAAAAATGTTAGGAGTTTTACTAGATAATAAACATATGTAAATATTAGGGTTGGGTTAAATTTAGGTTGGCCCGAAATTAGTAAAAAATAAACAAAAATTTTTAAACAAGACTTAATTATTAAACATAACTGTTCACCCATCTCTCCAGGGATGTGTGTGAATAACCTCAGCCCATTACCAACTTTTCTAGTCACCCTGTATATACACTTAGGCTTACAGCAAGTTATAAACTTAAAAAAGAATAGGAAAAAAACGCATGTTCCTCTTTCAAGGTAGCTATACTGAAATCCTTAAGAACAAAAAGACTATAATTTTGAGTAGCATGTAGAAGTAGAATGAAAATATTTCCAGAAATGATATTTTATAAAGTTATTGGATTTTATTCTACATTTGTATGCGGTGAAGTTTTTTACCTGTGGGTCGTATTGCACCACCCTGTATACACACTTACCTGTCAGACACGTTTAAAAGTTGAAAAAGTTTTTTTCCGTTTTATAAAAACATGACCTTTTGTACGAAATGGTCATGTTTTTAAAATTTTTTATAAGCTACTATTTAAAAAGATGCAGGGTCAATTGACTTACTTGACATCGCGAGGTAAGGTCATCAGCGCTATATAAACCCATCGATACTTTTTTCCAACGATAAACCATGCCACAAATACAACAAGAAGCAGTTGAACAAGAGCTAACCATCCAAGAAAGAACCAAACCAACGCTGAAAGTACGCAAACTATGGCCAGCATGATTGCTATAACCAACACTTGCCGCACCAACAAGCGGACTGGCCTTCTTCGACGTTTCAGACCCGTCTTGCCGGTCGTACTTTCCGCTTTCGCTACGTCGTCTTTTTTATTATCGCGGCATTTGCCGTTGTTGTTTACGGCTTCGACATCAAAATCTACCGTATAGCATACCTGTAATCAGATATGATGATAGGTAAATAGATAATAAACGAAAATAATGATTGTTGACAGCACAACACTTCTGCAACCAGTACACACGGCTGCAGTGTGGGTCCTCTATACATCTATTTCGTGGTTCGATTTATTCTACATAGATGTCGCAATGGCATAAGGATAACTAGGGCCCCTAGACATATATATCTAGGGACCCTAAGGATAACAGGAAGTTTAAGGATAACGAAAACGTAAAATATTAATTGATTATAAATTATAACAAAGAATAATTATAAAATTAAGTATATTCTTTGGCACGGTGTATTTTTCTGTTTAATAATATTCTTTTCACCACAAGTTATTATTTAAAACTTATATATATATACAGGGTGTTCAATTCAACCTTCACTACAGAAGTAACAGATTTTTAATTATCCTTTTCGTATGTAATTATAACAAATAATATAAACATCTGCTTACATAATAGGCAGAGCAAAAGTAATTGTTTACAAAAATAGAATGTTTTTTTTAAAAGGAATAATTTTATAATTAAGCGGAAGAATTCCCACATTGATAATTTTAATTAATATCCGTCCTTCCTTTTATTTTAGATAATTACCTATCATTTAATGGTACAATTCAACTCAAATAATTTACTTGTAGCAATTAATTAAACTTGAATTTACTAACTAAATTATTGGTCTTACTCTTATTGTAATTGTAT